TATCACTTAAAAATGGATTTGTGTAGAAAAAGAAAAAAATTAGCTGACAAGTTGGAAGTGATTTCCTCCTGGAGCAGGAAAGGTTGAGGTTCAAATTTTTTTCCCTGCTGATTTTTGCAGTAAGCCTTGAAGGAGTATCCGACAGATTAAATTATGTGCATGTGTGAGTATGATGAGAGTCCAAAGTGAATCTGAGGCACCTTCCCAAAAGAGCCCTCGAGGACTGCCAGGATGGGGGGGGGAGGTGTTGATGCCGGCCTCTGGCTAGCCTGCAGCCCTGTCTGCACAGCCTGGGGGCACAGCCAGAGGGTGGGAGCAACTTGGGAATTGGCAGGGAGCCTTTCCTCTCTTGGGAGCTCCCCACGAAGGGGGTCCTGCTCCGAGGCCCTCAAGTCATGGATGCTTTCTCCAGCCAGCTCTGCTCCGCCCCTTCTTGCCCTCTGTGGTTCAGTTGGCAAACAGCAGGTGGATTCTGGGAGGTGAAAGATCTGGGTTCGATCCTGGCTCCACCCCCAGCTCTGTGGCCTTGGGCACATTACTCAACTTCGTTCTCTTCACCTCCAGCACCGAGTCAGCAAACCCAGTGCCAAGACGCCAGGCACCCCACAACCAGGCACTCTTCGTCCTGGTTTTCTCTAGCTTGTGTATCGGAAAGAACACCTACTCCGGTCACATTTTCCATTAATTAGAGCCACCTGACGGCTCCGGCTCGGAATTCTGGCCTCGAAGCCAGCCCACCGGAATGCTCTGGGAAGCTCCAGTGCTGAAGGACTTGGCTCGGGAGGGCAAGGCCAAGCTTAATCCAGCCAGCACGGGCTCAGAGATCAGTTCAGAGATTGCCCTCCCGGGAGCCATCCTCTCCGAAGCAGCAGCGCCCCCTGCTGCCCGGGGGAGCCAGGAATCCAACTTGGCCTGATATCCCAGACCCAGCCAGGTGAGGCCAGGTGAGCTGGGACAGGTCCAGCTCATTAACCTCCTGGTGCCTCAGTTTCCTCATCTGTAAAATGTATTTTCCTTCTAAGATTAGGTAAGAGACTAGATTCAAAGAGTTTATTTAGCAAATGCTTGCCACATCATCCATGTGTAATAAATTTTAGTTATTCATTATTGTTTGTGAATGATTATTCCTTGTGATATTGTGATTCATAATAAGAAATATACATTTATTTGGTCTTCGCTCCATTTCTGGCACAAAGTTCCTAAAAACACTTGGAATTTTGTAAGAGACAGAGCAGTAAATGTGTCTTTTGCTATGTTAATGAGGTGACTTTTGGACCACCTCTAAGGATGGAGGGGGCAGGGAGTGCTAGTTTCCAGGGGAACCAACCATATCTTTAGGGGAATCAGAACTTTCAGTCCCACCTCCCCAGACCTCCAGTGAAGGGAGAGGGGCTGGAATTTGAATGCTCATCAGGGATCAATGATCTTGTCAATCATGCTTAAATAACGAAGCCTCCATTAATACCTGAAAGGATGGGTTTGGAGAGGTTCTAGGTTGGGGAACCAGACTTCCACGTGCCACCATATCAGGCCCCAAATTCCGCAAGGACAGACATTCCTTTATTCGGGACCTCTCCCTATGGCTCTTGATTTGCACCCTTTGATATCCTTTGTAATACATAGATAATCTAGTGAGTATACCGGTTTCCTGAGTTCTGTGAGCTGCTCTAGCAAATTAGTGGAATCCAGGGAGGCTACTGTGGGAACCTCGGCTTGGTGGCCAGTTAGTCAGAAGCACAGGCAACAACCTAGACCTGCACTTGGCAGTCTTGTGGGACTGAGCCCTAACCTGTGGGGTCTGCTGCTATCTCTGAGTAGATAATGTCAGAACTGAGTTGAATTGTGGGTGTTGGAGAATTGCCTGGTAGTGTGGGAAAAACCCCACATGTTGGAGTTGGGGGTGCAGAATTAGAGCATACCTACTCATGACGGAGCTACAACTGTCAGCCGTTATGACCCTCCCATGGACCCCAGTCAGACTGCAAACAGGCCTGGCAGGGCAGAGCCATGAGCTGGGGACCAAGGAGAGCTCAGGACCCAGGTCTTCAGCCTCCCAGCCCAGCTGCCCTGAGAATGTCAGTGGAGGAGGCCCGGGACCAGACAGCGCTGAACATTCCTGAGAAAAACTGTGAAAGCGAAGGGAAAACTGACATGAAAGGGGCAGGTGTGGTTCCTACGGCCTTTGTGTCCCGTGTGACAGGTGAGACCCCAAAAGGTAGAGTGGCTGGGGCATGCCCTCTGATTTCCAGCTCACGTGAAGAACAGCTCACAGCCAAACCGTTAGCAGAGAGAGCTCAGGGGAGGCAGGGCCCAGGACCCTCGAGGGAATTCCCAAGACCTCTATACCAGCCGGCACCAACAGCACCCAGTTCTCCAAGAACCTTACCAGCCAACACCCCCGCCGTTATGAAGAGCGACCCAGGTGGCACCTCGAAAGGCATCTCCCACGAAGTTCTGCACAGCCATGTCTGTGGAAACAGAGGCCACCACCTGTCATTCCCTGAATGAGCCGGGCCGGGAGAAGGCCAGGCCGGGCCAGGCTCTGGCCAGGGGGACAATGGGCTGAGTAGGGCCTGAAGGACAGACAGGAAAAGGGAACTAGAGACAGACTGTAGAAACAGCAATAATTTATGTTTGCAGAGCCGAGCAAAGCTGGAGTATTAACAAGTGCCCAAGTACCCACTGTTAGCCTTCTGGATAGTTATGCGTTCTAGCACTGAATGCCACATAAAGTGCCCCAGAAGCAGAAAGAACACAAAGATTAAAGGCATGGTGGTACTGATTTTAGCTCAGGCACACAGAGACCCAAAGAGAGTCACTTCCGTCCTTAAAACAACAACAGAAAAATAAGGGTAGGGGAGAAACTACAAATTAATGACTGTCTTTGACCGCATCAGAGAACTGAGGTCCCAGGGCAGCTAGCTCATTACAATCTGAGACAGGCCCTTGCACAGAGAAACAGCACCCAGACTGGTCACCTTACATGTGTGTCTAACAAACTGCTAAATGACAAGCATGAGCTTGCCCCAAACCTTGAGGCCCCTGGGACACAGACATAAGGGGGTGTGTGTGTCCTAGCAGGTCCTTCCTCCAAAAGTCCTGACTGGGCGCTCAAAGAGAAGATAAGGGAGGATCCCGAGAATGCTCTTCTCCTTGTGCCAGGCTGTGAGATGTGAGAAATGCAGCTCTAGAAGCTGGTAACGGCCCGGGAAACATTCTCCCCCAGGGCATCCTGGGATGTCATGGCCCTGCCACGTCTTGGCTCTAGCCCACTGAATCTGATTTCAGACTTCTGACCTTCAGCACCGTGAGAGAACGCATCTGTGTTGTTTTAAGCCATTAAAGTTTGTGGTACTTTGTTACCGTGGCCATAAGATACTAACATCAACGATATTAATATCAGAGAATTGCAGAGCAAGGACTATTATTAGAGACACAGAGGAACATTACATGATGATAAAGAGGTCTGTTCTCCAAGAAGACATCATAAGCTGAAGTGAGTGTGCACCTAACAATGTAGGTTTACAATGCTTGAAGCAAAAATGGGTAAGACCTGAAAGGAGAAGTAGACAAATCCACAAACTCACTGCTTCCCTCTCAGTGATTTACAGAATAATTAGGAAGAATATCAGTAAGGATCCAGATGACCAGAACGGCATTAGCGACCAACTGAACCTAGCTGGCATCTGTAGAACCCACCAAATAACAGCAGAACACATGTTCTTCTCAAGTGCACTAAAATAGACCATGTTCTGGGCCACAAAACAGCACTTAACACATTTAAAAGAACAGAATGAATACAAACTAAGTTCTCAGACCATAATGGAATTAAACTAGTAACAGAGGCACCTGGGTGGCTCAGTGGGTTAAGCGTCTGACTCTTGACTTCAGCTTGGGTCGTAATCTCATAGTGGTTCATAAGATTGAGCCCTGCGTTGGGCTCCATGCTGAGAGCACGGAGCCTGCTTGGGATTCTCTCTCTCCCTCTCTCTCTCTCTACCCCTATTCTGTATGTGCACGTTCTCTCTCAAAAATAAATAAAATAAACTTAAAAAAAAAAAAGACGTCAGTAACAGAAAGGTATCTGAAAAATCTCCTAAAACTTGGGAACTTAAAAGCATACTTCTAGGTAACCCATGGATCCAAGAGGAAGTCTTATAGGAAATTAACAAATATTATGAACTGAATGAAAGTGAAAATATTTAAAAATTTGTAGGATGCAGTGAAAGCACTGTTTAGAGGGCTATTTATAGCATTAAATACTAGAATTTGAAAAGAAAAAAGGTTTTAAATCAGTAACCTCCTCATCTGCCTTATGAAGCTAGGGAACGAAGAGTGAGTTAAATCCAAAGCAAGCAGAAACAAGGACACACTAAAGATTGGAGCAGAAATCAGGAGTGCCTGGGTGGTTCAGTCAGTTGAGCATTGAACTCCTGATTTTGGCTCAGGTCACGATCACACTGTTGGGAGATCAGGTCATGAGATAGAGTCCTGCATCGGGCTCCACACTGAGTGTGGAGTCTGCTTGGGTTTCTCTCTCTCCCTCTTCCCCTGCTTGCACTCTCTCTCAAAATAAATAATAAATAAACATTAGCACAGAAATTAATGAATTGGGAATTAATTAATGAATTTGGAAGCAGAAAAACAATAGAAATGGGTGCCTGGGTAGCTCAATCAGTTGAGCATCCAACTTCGGCTCAGGTCATGATCCTGCGGTCTGTGAGTTTGAGTTCCATGTCAGGCTCTGTGCTGATAGCTCAGAGCCTGGAGCCTGCTTCAGATTCTGTCAGAGCCTGGAGCCTGCTTCAGATTCTGTGTCTCCCTCTCTCTCTGCCCCTTCCCTGCTTGTGCTCTGTCTCTCTGTCTCTCAAAAATAAACATGAAAGAAAAAATGAAAGAAAGAAAGAAAGAAAGAAAGAAAGAAAGAAAGAAAGAAAGAAAAGCAATAGAAAAAAATGAATGAAACTTAAAGCTTTTTATTGAGAAGATCAATAAAGTTGATAAATATCTTAATAGACTGATCAAGAAGAAAGAAAGAAAACACAGATCACCAACATCAGGAATGACAGAGGAGACATCACAACTGACCCCACAGACATTAAAAAGATAAGTAAAGGAATACAATTCTATACCTACAAATTTGATAACTTATATGAAACGTATCAATTCCTTGAAAAAAGTGATACAGATTGGGTTCCTGAATGTCCACCTCCTTTCCTTGGGATCCCATCCATAATGGAGGGAGCACTCCAGTGCTGGGAATGAGCAAGCTATACCAGGCCTAGAACCCACCAGCCTCTGTGATGATTATAATTGTAGTGGGTACGGAAGCAGAATGGTAATAGCAGCTGCGGCAGATAACCAGTGAACACTGGCTGTGGGACACCTACTTAATGCTGCACAAGTATTAATTCATTTCCTTCTTCATAACAACCCTCTGAAGTAGGCACAATTGTTATTTCCATTTTACAGATGAGAATATTGAGGTTCAGAGACTTTAAGTCTTACTGAAGTTTGCCCAGCAAGTGACAGGGTCGGGTGCACACCCAAGTCTAGGGCATCCAACTGTCCCGTTTTGCCTGGCACTTGCCCAATTTAAAAATGAAAAATCCCAGGTCCTAGAAACCTCGCTGTGCTGGGCTGGTGACCCTATGCCAATTCTCTCAGATGCCAGAACATTTTTTGCAACATTATAACTCGCTGAATGAATCAATTGATTTCTAAACAAAGTCAAATCCAACATTAAAAAATTTAAAAAAATTTTTTTGTCTTCCTCACCTGCACAGAAGGCAGAACCATCGTAAATATTGGAGGTCTCCCTAAAGGGACTGTCTGTGCCACTCACGTCATGGTGGTCCCGGCTCAGGACCACCGGTGCCTGCAGCAGGGAAAGATATGAGGTATCAGCTGACAGTGTTTACCACAGCTGCCTGGCAGAGGGCAGAAGTCAAAGGTCAGGCCACACCAGACACCCTTCAGATCCCTCCCCCTAAAAATAGACCTTCTTCAAGAAGAGGAAGCATAGGAGGCATTGTCTGTCTCCTACCTAACGTTCAGATTTCCTGGTCACTTCTTTGAGACATCCAGATGGCTAACAGACACATGAAAAGATGCTCAACATCACTCATCATCAGGGAAATACAAATAAAATCCATGATGAGATACCACCTCACACATGTCAGAATGGCTAAAATTAACAACTCAGGAAACAACAGATGTTGGCAAGGATGTGAAGATAGGGGAGCCCTCTTGCACTGTTGGTGGGAACGCAAACTGGTGCAGCCACTCTGGTGACAGTATGGAGGTTCCTCAAAAAATCAAAAATAGAACTACCCTACAATCCAGCAACTGCACTAGTAGGCATTTACCCAAAAGATACAAAAATACAGATTCAAAGAGGTCCATAGACCCTGATGTTCATAGCATTATCAACAATAGCCAAACTACAGAGAGCCTAAAGTCCATCAACTGATGAATGATGTACATACATACAAAGGAATATTGCTCAGCCATCAAAAAGAATGAAATCTTGCCATTTGCAATGAGGAGGATGGAGCTGGAATGTATTATGCTAAGAGAAATAAGTCAGTCAGGGGCGCCTGGGTGGCTCAGTTGATTGGGCAACCAACTTTGGCTCAGGCTATGATCTCACAGCTCGTGAATTCCAGCCCCGCATCAGGCTCTGTGCTGACAGCTCAGAGCCTGGAGCATGCTTCAGATTCTGTGTCTCCCTCTCTCTGTCCCTCCCCTGCTCACAAACTGTCTATCTCTGTCTCTCTCAAAAATAAACATTAAAAAAAATTTTTAAAAAGTCCGTGAAAGACAAATATCATATGATTTCACTCATATGTGGAATTTAAGAAACAAAGATGAATATATGGGAAAGTGGGGGGAAAGAAGAGAGGGAAACAAACCATAAGAGACTCTTAATGACAGACAACAAACTGAGGGTTGATGGAGGGAGGTGGGTGGGGGATGGGCTAGATGAGTGATGGGTACTAAGGAGGGCATTTGTGTTGAGCACTGCGTGTTGTATGCAAGTGATGAACTACTGAATTCTACTCCTGCAATCAATATTGCACTGTATGTTAACTAAAATTTAAATTTAAAATAAGTTAAAAAAAAAGAAAAAGAGGAAAAGCATAGATGTTTCAGATGTACCTTGCTAAAAGGGGAGCTCCCATTTCTCTGAATTAAGAGGCCCTCTTCTTCCCTTGAACCAGCTAGGCTTGCTGTCGCCTCTTTGTATGTGCCCTGAACTGCCAACCCCCCGGTATTCTAGCACCTCCCAGATATCCAGGTTGCAGTTCTACATCAGCAACTCAGAAGGCCTGTTCTGACCACCCATCAGACAGACCACTGCCCCCGACCCCCTCACCCCTACCTCATGTAGAGTCACCACTCTCCCTACTCCGTAACCCCTACCCCATCTAGAGGCATCACACACACTCACCCCCCATCACCCCCACCCCATCTAGAGTCACCACTCCCCCCCCACCCCATCACTCATAACCCATCACCCCCACCCCGTCACCCCCATTCATTTTCTTCTCATGTTCATCACCATCTGAAGTTCCCTCTGAATTTATGCTTTTATCCTGTGTTGTCAGTTTCCCTTCCCCAGTGAGTGGAGGAGGCCGGGACCTGTCTACTTTGTTCTCTGCCACGTGGTCCCCAGTGCTTTAGAATAAGCCTGGGGTAGAGGAGGCCCTCAATCGAGCATGTGGAATGAATGAACGATTAAGACCTGGCTCTCTAGGCCAACCAGCCGACTGCAGCCTGGATGTGAGCGTTCCTGTGGAGCCCTCCTGGGACAGCTGCCACAGCCGTCCTCATCTCCGTAAGCACACTGAGCAGTGGCGCTGTGGCAGTGCTCCCAAGGTGGTCTGGGAGCTGTCCTTGCTGCCACCGGAGCCACCCACCGGGACAGCCTTCACATTCATCCAACTTGATTTCCCTTTCACATCTGATCATTAGCACTGGCACTCCCAAACACAGGGATGCCAGCAAGAACCCTGCGGCACGCGCTTAGAAAATGAGCCCCCCAGAGGAGTGTGCCCAGAGCTCCATGTCCCCCAGAGTAGGCTGGCTGATGGGGAGGAAAATGAGGGAACACCAGGGAAATCTGTCATGGTTTATAAAAGGAGAATTCAAGGAAGATGTGGGAAGTGCTTGCATGGAAACTGACTCGCCTAATCCTCCCACCCAGGCCTTGAGATTGACATAATTCTCCCCTCACAGAAGATGGCACCTGTGGCTCAGAGAGGGCATCTGACCCGCCAAGGTCACACAGCAGGGAACATGTCAGAGGCTGGGTTGCAGGACAGGCCTCATCACTGCAGGTCCCCAGTTATCTGCCTCCCACCTGACATAAACACAGAGCCGAGGGCCTCAGGGCAGTGCCAGCACCCAAGGGCAGGAGCCCAAGGGAAGCTTCCTGCCTGCAGCACAGAACGTGTCACCTTGATCTTCCCACGGGCGATGGCTTGGTTGAAGGCCACAGCAATGGCCACACGGCCTTTCTGGTCTGAGTACAGGATCCTCGCCTGGGAGCCCACCACCTGCAGAGAAAAGGGAGGGAAGAGGCACCTCAGGGACCTAGGGATATGCAGGGGATAGATGTGGGTGACAGGTCCCACCAGCAGCCAGATGGTCCCCTCTAGGGAGGTCACGGAGGACCCTGAGGTGTGTGGTACAAGGTAGACCCTCATGTCCAGCCCACCAGGCAGTCACGCCAAACCCCTGCCTGTCCACGTGCAGTCTGGGACCCCAGCTGTCCCTCCATGATCCACTGCCTCGAGGGTCAACCCCAGGAGTGGGCTCTGAGACCCTGACCTGCCCATCTCAGGGATGCCACCTCTTATGAACATACCCTTGCTTGAGTCCTTCCAATGACAATAATACCACCACCCAATGCAATTGTGGCCTGTGCCCGGCACAACTACAAGCACTTTGCACACAGTCACTCATCGGTGAGTTTATGAGGAAGTTGCTATTGTTCTCACCCTAGGCTCCACGTTTCAGATGAGAAAACTGGGGCACAGGGGCCAAGAACCCTCCCATGACCACCCCGGGCAGTCGGTGACATGGCTGAGAGCCCGCGGACTCATCCATCAGGATGCCGCACCTCTGGAGGGTAAGACAGGTTACTCCCATGAAACGGAAACTTCAGCAAGTGAAAAGGAGTCACTGGCACAGTGGTCCTCAACCAGAATGACATTAGGGAATGACTGGAGACACGGTTGAGTGCTGTCGGCACGGAGAGGGGTCCTGCTAAGCATCCTGAGATGGCCCCCCCATGACAAAGAGTTATCCAAGTCCCCAGGCACACAAGCAGATATTTGCACCCCCAAGTTCACAGCACTCACAATAGCTACAATGTGGAAGCAATCCAGGTGCCCACTGACGGACGAAGGGACAAGCAAGGTATATACATTCTAAGCAGACGATGGAATATCATCCAGCCTTGAAAAGGAAGGAAACTCTGACACAGGCTACAACATGGATGAACCCTGAGGACATCACGTTCAGCGAAAGAGGCCGGTCACGAAAGGACAAATACTGTAGGATCCCACTTATACGAGGCCCATAGAGTGGCCAAACACACAGAGACAGAAGTAGGTGGGGTCAGGGGCTGGGGGAGGGTGTTGGGGGAGCCGTTTTATTTGATGGGGACAGAGTTTCAGTTTGGGGAGATGGAAAAGGTCTGGAGAGAGATGGTGGTGATGGTTACACTCAATGGAAGTGTACTTGAAGCCACCGAGTTGTACCTTCAAAATGGTTAATACAGTAACCACATGGAACTAGCCACACAAAAGTCTGAGGGAACAGTATTCTAGGCAGAGGGAACAGCAAGTGCAAAGGCCCAGAGGTAGAAAGAAGCTGGGCCTATCCCAGTAAAACAGGCCAGTCAGCTAAAGTGTAGGGGGCATTTTATGTCAAGGTGTAGTTCGCCACAATTGAAAAAAATGATTTGGCCCCAAACATCAGTAGTTCTGAGGCTGAGAAGCCCCGGATTCTCCAGGTGTTTCCCTTGCAGCCTGGCCACGCATCCTGGAATGGGCTGGAACGTTCTGGAGCCAGTGATGGAGCTATGCCACCCCTGACCGCGAGCCTGAAGCCAGCGCTCCGTCTGGACGGCCCCGCCAGCAAACGTGGTCAGGTGAGCGGCCCTTCCTTCCTCGTGACTTGCTAACCAAGGCCATACTGCCCTCATGCCGGCTGCCTCAAAGCCTTGTGGGAAAGACTATAGTATAAACCAGCACTGGAGAGATTTTCGGATGGCTTGGATCCAGAAAAAGGAAATTGGAGACAAACCGACATAGGACTGCCAGGTCCGTCAAGAGTGAACCTTACGCGAAACTCAATTAAAATGTTTAAAAAGGATGGCCTTCTGCAATCATCATCTTTCATGAGACAAAGAGCAACGTGAACTAAGTAGGGAGAACACAACCTCCAAAAACTCCAACTCAAACACAGAAGAGACAGTCCCGGTTATTCACGGCCCTTGTAGTGGCCTCCAGAGGGCCACTCCCCATGCCCCTGACCTCCCAACCTCCCGCCAGCCCCTTCCCACTCTGTCGGTGCCCCTCCCTCAAGGCTGGGGTCCTCCTCTTCTCCAGGCCCGCCTCTGGACTGGCCCTGCACAATTCCACTCCCGCCCATCCTCCCCGAGGCCCCGACCCTCGAGTTCAACAACTGTCCGGTGGGTGTCTCAGACCCTGTGTGGTCACAGAGATCGCTGTTGGCACGGGGGTCTCTGTGGCTGAAACACGTGTGCAAGCCACTGGGCAAGGAGGAGGTGGCGCTTTGGGTGGGGGGTGTTGGGCCACAGAAGCCCAGGACATGGGGGCGGTGCTCAAGGGAGTCCCCCTTCTGGCCTGGGGACCCCCAGGCCAAGGACACGCCAGTGCGGATGCGGCAGCTGCGTCTGGCTATCGGGGTCTGTGGACAAAGCCATGTGAGTCAAAGGCTCGTTTCTTGCTCGTCTTCCGTACACCAAGGCCACTGCTGCCTCAGGGCCTGTGCATTGGCTGGTCCTCTGCCTCCCCCCACTGTCATATGGCTGCTCCCCTGCCCCCTAGTCCTCCAGCATTTAGAGCTGAACTCACAACTCAGCTCCTCAGAGACACCTCTCTGACCCATCAGTATAAAGTGATGTCCCCACCGGGCATCACCTTGAGTCACGTTCGCATGCCCGGGAGCATGCGCATACACCCTCTGCCCAACCCGGGCCGGAAGTGCCTCCTGCAGACTGCCACCAGAGGCCCCCGTGTGCAGACAGTCAGCAGCGGCTCCACTGCCCAGCCCAGCCGGGACAGGAAGCTCAGAGAGGCTGAGCCACTCGTCCCAGGTCACACAGCTGAGAAGCCAGGAGGCCTGACCTGAGAGAGCGGTTTGGGAATCAGCTGGGTGAGCAACGACCCGACCGGCCCTGGCCATTGCCCCCAGGCCCCAGGCCACCCTTTCAAGGTCCCACAGCCCGCCGGGTGAGGTGGCTGCTGCTGCCTCCTCTGAGGCCAAGGAGGCTGCCACCTAGGGAGTCCCACGGGGTGTGTTTGGCACCGTCCCGGGGCTCACGTCTGCCAGCCCGGGCATGGCCAGCGGTACTCCGCCTTGGTCAGGGCAGTCCAGTGGCCCACCCCTGCCTCCCACCAGGCAGAGCCCTCACCAGCCGGTGCCTGGCGGCCTCCCGGATCCAGCGGATGTTGTCCACATACTGCAGCTTCACAGCCGGGTTCACTGCAGGGAGAAAGAGTGGTGTCGCAGGCACCAGGAGCCCCCGTCCCGTGGGGCTCAGGCACAGGCCCTCCCTCCGGCAGCCACTCATCGCCATCCATCCATTCCCTCAACAAACATCTATTGAGTCCTCACTGTATGCCAGGCACTGGGCCAGGCACTGGGAACAGAGGAGGCTGTGGGCCATGGAGGAAAGAAGTATGGTGAAGTGGTCACTAGGGTGACGGGTCAGGGGGGCCCCAGGCCTTTCTGTGGAGGTAGCTGTCAAGTGGCAATCGAAATGCTAAGAAGGAACCCGCCACACAAAAGGCTGAGGGAACAGTATTTGAGTCAGAGGGAACAGCAAAGGCAAAGGCGCAGAGGTAGGAAGAAGTTGAGTTCCTATCCCAGGAAAGCAGGCCGGTCAGCTAAAGTGTGGGGGACATGCAGAGTTGGGTGGTAGCTGTGTTGCTCAGGAACCTGCTTCCACTAGCTCATGAGAGCAGACGGTTAAATCCTCAGGGATGGTGTGACCCAGTGGTTGACACAGATACCATTAAAATTTCAATTAAATAAACTTACACTTTTTCAGAGAGAGTGCGTGCACACGCACGCATAAGCAGGGGAGGGGCAGAGGGAAGGAGAGAGACTCTTTTTTGTTATTTACTTATTGTGAAAGAGAGAGAATGCACGCATGAGTGGGGAAGGGGCAGAAAGAGAGGGAGAGGATCCCACGTGGGCTCCGAGCTGTCAGCGTGGGGCCCGATACAGGGCTTGAACTCACAAACCGTGAGATCGTGACCTGAGCCAAAATCAAGAGGTGGTCACTTAACCAACTGAGCCACTCTGGCGTCCCAGGAGAGAGAGAGAGAACCTTAAGCAGGCTTCACGCTCAGCCCGGAGCCTAACACGGGGCCGGATCCCATGACCCTGGGATCATGACATGAGCAGAAACCAAGAATCAGACGCTTGGGGCACCTGGGTGGCTCAGTCGGTTGGGCGACTGACTTCAGCTCAGGTCATGATCTCACGGTTCGTGAGTACGAGCCCCACGTCAGGCTCTGTACTGACAGCTCAGAGCCTGGAGCCTGCTTCGGATCTGTCTGTCTCTCTCTTGGTCTCTACCCCTTCCCTGTTCACGTTCTTGCCTGCCTGCTGCAAACGCTGCCACTGCTGTGCATGGAGCTTCGATGGGAATCAGCCACTCTGAGAGTATTTACGCGGGGGCCACCTGCAGATGCCGCAGCTCAGGGCTTCTTCCCTGAGGACAGGTTCCTAAGAGAGGATCCCTTCCTTCCCAGGAGGCCTCCGCCTGCCCAGTTCCTCCCGCCCTCCCCTTGTTCTCCAGCCCTGCACCCGTGTATCCTGGACCCGTCCCAGCCCGCCCAGCCTGGATGTGGGCAGCAGGGGCGAATGGCCCTGGGGATCAAAAACAAGCAGCCAAAGGTTGAAGGACCTACGCAGCAAACCAGAGAGAAGGTGGCCCGGACCTGCAGAAAAGCTGCAGAGAAGTGCGGGTAGGAGTCCTGACAGCTGAGGAAGCTTCACAAAACCCCTGCCTTCTCTTCTCCACGTGAGAAGCAACATCACATGCACTACACAGGAAACGACTGTGGTTAAACCAGGGGCAGGGGCAGGGACGTGGGGACGACCACCACCATCCACGTAGGAAGGCAGTGCAAGTTCTCTGTCGCAGAGACCACAGACCCACGGACATGGGGAGAGCAGAGTGGGCACAGAGGACAGCTACGAAGAATCAGAAGCACCGCCGACAGGCACAAACCCCAAGTCCATGTGCTCTCGTGTCCCGGGGGCCAGGCCGAGCACGAGCAGGGAAGGGAGGGCTGCGTCAAGGGGGTGGGCTGCCCTGGAGCCTGTGGTGGGCCACCTGCCTGTGAATGTGTCCCATCCTGCAGCCTCACCTCCGTCAGCAATTGCTTCCTCCAGCACAGACGTGGCCAGCTCATCCGTGACCGCCAGGTCCTGGGGGTCCCCTGACGTGCATACCCAGCGGAAAGGCCCGAATCCCTGGGAGAATATGTCTCTGCGAGGACAAAATGCAGCCTGGCTGCATCCTCCATGGGCCAAAGAGGGGGGTCTATCTACAGTGCTCCAGAACTGAGAGGGGTGTGTTGGGGACGTGGTATGTGGGCCCGTGAAGTCAGGGCTTCAGCATCCAGAACTGTTGCTGGACGCCCCTAAGCCGCTAACTGCACAGCAAGTTTCAGAGGCCAGCCCCCCAGGTCCCCTCCCCCGCTCAACCCCACCTTCTCCCCTCAGTGCCCACCCCCACCCCGGTTCTCTGTCCCTCCTCTTAGACCGGCACCATCTCTTGCTGCAGAAGCCGGGACACAGGCAGAAATTCCTTTCTAGTGCAACTACTCTACAAAGACAACCTGAAAATCAGTGAACTAAAAGCAAGTAGTTGGGAGAAAGAGTTTAACTGCGGGACTTTGGCCAAGTTTGCCTTGGGTGAACTGACCTTCCTAGGTGGCCTCCAGGCAGAGGGATGGAGAGGCCTGGGCCCCGCCTGGCTCCTGCACTCACCCAGCCCCCTGGGCCCACCGTCCTCTCTGGACAGCCCCCCTCCCTGACCCCGCTGCCCCCTGCTGCAGCCTGGCAGTGCAGCCCCCTGGGTCTCTGCCTCCTCACCCACGATGAATCCAAGAAGGAGACCATGGCCTTCCTCCTCTCCCTTCCTCTCTGGTCCCATCTTGTGCACAAATGGGCTGACAAGCTTCCCATCCCTGTCCCTCTGTTGCTTAAGCCCAAATTCCTTCATGTGGCCTGGTGGCCTCCACCGTCAGCCCGATCTCTCTCTGGTTACCTCCTCCTTCTCCCTACTTGGGGACTTTTCCAACCTGAATGTCTAGGACCCAGATGCCGCAGGTGACCCCATCACTCACCCCATGATGTGCTGGACGTACGAAGGGTAGCGGAATTCTGTCTTGTTGGCGCCTTTCTTCTCCACGTCAGCTCCTGCGGGCACAGAACCCGCCCAGAATCACTTGGAGGGTCTGAGGGTTGGCGGGCCCTGCGCCGAGGTGAGGACTTATACCACTACCCGGATAGGTAAGCCTCCCTGGGTCTCATTTTACAACGAAGAAGGGAGACAGCAAGTGCTGCCATTGGTGTGGGGCCGGGTGGGGGCATACACATGTTTGTGCCCACATTCCCGACATGACACGCCAGAACCTTCGAACTCCAGGAGGGGAGCTGGCACCAGAAAAAGGGCTGGGGGTGGGGGGGTGACTTTCCACTGTGTCTCTCTCTCTCTCTTTTTTTTTTACATTTATTTATTATCAAGAGACAGAGAGACAGGGCATGAGCAGGGGAGGGGCAGAGAGAGAGGGAGACACAGAATCCGAAGGAGGCTCCAGGCTCTGAGCTGTCAGCACAGAGCCCGACGCGGGGCTCGAACTCATGGGCTGTGAGATCATGATGTGAGCTGAAGTCGGACGCTTAACCAACTGGGCCACCCAGACGCCCTGGTACTTTGTGTTCTTAAGGCACATGGATAAACTGAAGCCCAGAGAGGCCAAGGACCTGGCAAGACCAGCTTCCAGAAGGTCCAGGCAGGGGCACAGTGAAACCTGCAGGCTGTGGCCCCCACCTCTCCAGGGCACCTGCCAGGCTACTCCTGGCTGGTGAGAAGGGAGTATTCCCGAGGGCCAAAATCTTGGCCCCTCCAAGCTTGGGAGGCTGGGGGCCCCTCATGTGACATTCATTTTCTCTCACCTGCTCTCTGGGCCTCCAACAGGAAGGCATTGCCATAGTCCCAAAAGAAGAAGTTCTCTTTGGCCAGTCGGTTGATGGCCGAGACTTGCCTCCTCAGGCTGCAATAGGCCAGCAGTTAGTGATCAGCCCTACCCACCAGCAAGGCCCTGAAAGCAGGCCCTCTGTGCCTCACCGCTGTCACCCCCGGCCCCATCCCGTGGAGCTCAGCCAGCTCTGCTTACTTCCATCTCATCTGACAGATGAGGAGACAGTTCAGACAGATTTAAGGTCTTGTCTAAGGCTGCACAGCTGGCCCCTGGGGGACCAGGCAGAGGCCAGAGTCCCCAGTCTAAAAGCTCCTGCTGGCTGTGTGTGCCCCCTGGGCCCTGGGAACTCATCACCTTTCCTGGACCAGGCTCTTGAATGCAGCTGGGTCGGAGGCCATGAGGCTCTGCGCCTCTGCAAAGCCCAGCTGCACAGGGTAGTAACCGCCATTGAACGGGTTGTGGCAGGACGTCTGGTCTGACCCCAGGTCCACCAAGAGCTCCCCCGTCGTGTCCAACTCATGGACCAGCCGCTCCCTGGGAGAGACATGAGGCGATCAATGCCTGGGGCAGGGGAAGGCACCGTCTGGGGCCTGACTTCAAGGCCCAGCCAGCAGGGGATTGCCCTTCTCTCTTGAAAGAACATCTGCTGGAAGGCAGCCTGCCATGAGCTCAGGCCAGGATCTGGGCCTCGGAAGCTGGAAGCAGAGACTCAGGCAGAGCACATTGGAAGCTTCGTGTCTGGGGAGCCTGGCCACCATCAGTACCTTATCTGGAAGGGGAAGTTCACCCAGGGTCCCCAAGGCTGCCAAATCCCATCCCCCACTTACCAAAGATCTACTACATTGCCATGGTAACCAAGGCTGAGTACCTCCTTCCTTTTCCTTGCTTCCCTAGAAGGGGACAAGAGCAGAGCAGATGGTCCATTGCACCTGCCCCACCAGTACCAAGCTGGTGAGAATGCAGAAGGTCACTGAAGGCACTGTGTGCCAGCATAGGGCCTGAGGCACAGGGACCTCTGAAGGGTGTCCACTGAGGACCCAGAACCGTAAGGGAAACAGAGACGTGAATGCCCCATCAGGGAAAACTGAGAACCGAGATGACAGCAGTGATGAGCCAACTCGAGGCAATTCACAGAATCAGGACCCTTGCCGTTAGGGCTCTGATTGGGATTGTTCTAGAAATCGGTCTGTGTCTTCCCTGGAAGTATGACCAGACGGGCTGCTTAGGGCACTTTGCTGAACTGACGGGAACTGATTTTGTGGTGAGTGTGTGTGTGTGCACGTGGATGAGTGCATGCACGTGTGTGCCAGCGTGTGCGTGCGTCCGGGATGCTAAGCAGCATTCACAGGCATAGGGGGCAGATCAGGCCAGACCCATCTGTGTCCCACCAGCAGTCTGGTATGTCTCCTGTATTTAATGGAAGCTCATCTGAGAGTTTTACACAGCGGTTGCCATGGGGCCAAACTAGGATTTTCAAGAGATCAGTGTCAAGCAGTATCCGATCCTAGTAATGGGAGTATTTCTCAATTTGGTATGTACTTGGACATTTTCCTCCAAGCCCCCTTTGAAGCCCCCTGGGTAACTGATCGTGGCGGGGCTGGAGAGCCGCTGTGTGGTGCATCCTCCCTGCACAGAGCTCAGGTCTCCAAAGTGTGTCGGTTGAGAGCAAGCTTCAAAAACGGCATCAGATCAGCAGCCCCCAGGGCAGTCCTTCCCCCATTCCCGCAGTTTAGCCATCAAACCGGAGGGCAGTGTTGCCGACACCCCCCTCAAACAACCAGACCACAAGTGGGGAGGGAGATCGGCTTACCCCGAACCTGGTGGAGTCACACCGAGGAACGGTTCTGTCTTTCAAAGTTTCATTTCCCCCCAACAGATGAGGCGAGCACCTAATATGTGCCAGGCTCCGGGCTGGGCACTCAGGCCACAACAGTAAGAAATACAAGGCACAGCCTTCGCTCAGCCTGTGGCTGAGTATCAGGCATTTAACAGGCCCACATACAGCAGCCCAGCCTCCGGATCCCTTCTGTGGCCTCCCCAGGCCCAGGTCAGGTGCCATACCTGAGTCTTTCAATGCAGTGGTCCAAGCTGTCGGTCACTTCCATCAGCCATCCTTGCTGGTGGCGTTTCATGAGGGCGGCTTTATCCACCTGGGACCACGAGACACAGGGCCACCCAGTCAGTCACTGGGCATGTCAGCCTCCACCAGGAGGAGGCCATCCCCCGCGTAGAGCGCCCATGGCAGCACAGGTGCCACGAGCTGTTTTCCCGTAGTTACTCCCCCTCCTGCATTCCTTGTCAACAGAACCTGGATTTTCAGGGCGACACCGTGGCCCCACTCCCAGCTAACTACAACTACTCTTTCCACTGTCTCCAGCGTCCCTTTTAGGGAAGAACTTCCCTTCGATCCAAAACTGACCAGTGAGGTAAAAGAACGAGTTTCTGAGGTATCATTTTCCTGCTAAAATCGAGTCAGTCACAGGTGGCACCTTCCCCCTTCCTCCTTTCTGCCTTCAATGTAGATGCGATGGCTGGGGTGGGGGCAGCCATTTTGAACGCACGAGGGAAACCCAAGAGAATCTAGCGATGTTGGCCCTGACATCGCGGAGCCGCTGAAACAATGCCAGCACTGCGGGCTGCGTGAGAGAAACAAAACCTTATTTGTGCAAGCGGCTGTAGTTTGATTTTACTATTGGCACCCAGGTGGGCTCCTAAGAAATATAAGAATGTATGACACAGGCTTAGTACTAACTGAGTATAAATCACAAAGGTGGGTGCCTCTCTCTTTTTAGGATTGCTTATTTGCCATCTGGGAATTTTATTACAAATATGTACTGCTCTCTCTGTGGCAAACACTTTTAAAAAATACATGCTGTATTTAAAACAATTTTTTAATGTTTTTATTTATTTTTGAGAGAGAGAGACAGAGCACAAGCAGGGTAGGGGCAGAGAGAGAGGGGGAAACACAGAATCCAAAAGCAGGCTCCAGCCTCTAAGCTGTCAGTGATATGGGGCTCAAATCCACGAACTGTAAGATCATGACCTGAGCCAAAGTTGGACGCTTAACCGACTGAGCCACCCAGGTGCCCCGTATTGTTTTTAAGTTTATTTATTTATTTTGAGAGAGAGAGTGTGCGTGCAGGAAGGACACAGAGAGGGAAAGAGAGAGAGAGAATCCCAAGCAGGCTCCCTGTGGTCAGCACAGAACCCGATGCGGGGCTCAAATTCATGAAGTGTGAGATCATGACCTGAGCCGAAACCAAGGGTCAGATGGTTAACCGACTGAGCCACCCAGGCGCCCCTGTGGCAAACATGTTTTGAAGATACAGGGGGAAGTAGGTGAGGATGAGGGTTGAGGATGAGACGAGGGGAAGTCAAAGCTTTTTAAAAACATAGGCTATTTTTCTGCAGATTCCAGGGGATGAGCTAACGTTAGTTGCTCTAACTTATTTTCTATATAGGGGCCAAGGGCAGCCCCTCCCCACAAATGTGCCACGTTGGCATATTGATTATTTTAAATAAAAGTTGCTTAAGGGACCCCGTGTACAAGGACACTCAGGCCCTCCTCTGTCCCCTTGGAAGCAGGAAATATATCTCCCATGAGAAAGGTACCCCCGACCCAACCAAGGCTTGTCTTAAAGCTCCTCGCCTCCTCTCCCTGGCTCCCTTCCTCTCCTTGGCTCTACCAAAGAAAGCTGTAAGAACCAATGGCCAGAGGCTGCATGCACACACCTCTACTGACGTCTGTTGCCCTCAGCTGACTGACCTGTTCGAGCTGGGGGAGGCTATGTTCATCTCCAGGGATAAGGGGAGCGGTGCCCACAGAAGGTCAGTTTCCCGGGGCTGGGGGGGATCAGCAGGCATTGACCGTGGGGGAAGATGGGCACTTTGAAGGCAGGAGGCATAGGCTGCCATGGGAATCCACCCTGGGAGGCTTGGAGGGCTGGTGGGGGGGTGCAGGAGAAGAGAGGGCTGTGAGTGGGGGCGGCTCTAGACTGAGGGAGGACGCAAGTGGGCAGAGTGCCTGCTGGGCTCACCTCTGCTATCACGCCGATACAGCCCACGATGACCGCGGCTTTGGCCTGAGCGCCACTCATTCCGCCCAGCCCAGAGGTGACAAAGACCTTCCCAGCCAGGTCCTTGACCCCCAGGTACCGTCGCCCGGCATTCAACACGGTGAGCTGCGGGGAGAAGAGGAGGAGTTCACTCTCCACTCCAGCACGTCCGCCTCCCACCCCCGGCAGCCAGGCGTGGCCCCTGTTTCTCACCACTGTGCCATGGACGATGCCTTGGGGACCGATGTAGCAGTAGCTGCCTGCTGTCATCTGGCCGTACCTGACCACAGAGAAGGCACGCTCAGGGCTGAGCTCGGTGCCAGGCACAGCTTTAAAAGGCACATGCTTTAAAATTCATTTTCGATTACCCCAAAATGCATTCCTACGTTTTCCTTTAAAAAAAAGAAACCATTATAGAGAAAGCTACAGTCCCCCAATTCTGGTCCCCTCTGGCCTCCGGGACCTTTTATACACAGATTTTGATCTGTTAAACACTGTAATATAAGTGGCAAAATCACTGTGGGGGCCATTTGGCCGTAACGACGGAGCGGAAGGTGATCTGGCACCTTCACTTTCTGCGTTCACGTCCATGTGAAGACAGGCCCGCCACTGTTCTCGGCAACTTTGTTTGCGGTGGCCAAGCCCTGGAAGAGCTGGAGCGCCCAGCACGGAGGAGCGAGAAACAAACGGCAGCGTAAGAACACAGCAGAATGCTTCGTGGCAAAGAAACAGACCAAAGTCTTCCTGTGCCACGTGGCTCAGTGAAGAAGCCAGATGTGAAAGAACCCATTCTGTGGGATTCTGTTGGCATGACATTCAATGACCTCCAATGGGGGGGGGGCTACCTGCTGGAAGGAGGGCACGGAGCTGCGGGAGGCAGGGGTGACGCCTTCAGAAAAGGGCGCTCACAGAGCAGCACACTTCATTCAGGTTTGTGGGCTATGCCATCACCGAATGGCATTGGGGTCACTGTTTGCAGGTGGGGTTATTGTCGTCATTAGTATTCGTATTATTTACATCAACGGCCTCATCTTGTAGGTATTGGTACTGCTTGTGCAGCTGGGCCCCTCACCTGCGGGGGCCTTTCCACCTCAGCACACACGGGTCCTGCTGATGGCTACTCATGGTTCCACACTGTGTGTATCAGAAACCACAGAATGTTCCCCTGCCCCCTCTGATCTCGTTACGCGAATCACACTGCAGTGAGTGACCTCCTGTCTGCCTCGCTGGCCCGGAGAAGAAACCAGGAAGGGGTAGGCCTCAGTCATCAAGTGCAAGTATGTAAAATATTACTAGACATTGTCAAATTCCAAAGTGACTGTCACCAGCAATGCATGAGGGTGCCTGTGTCTATCCCTTGATAATTACCAAACACTTGAATATTTTTGGCAGTGCATTTTTCTGGGTTTTTTTTTCTGTTGCCTTAATTTTACTCTTCCCTGGGGACCCCTGAGGTAAGCGATGCTCCAAGGTTTACTGCCGCTTGCTTTTGTCCTTGGTCCATTTCAACTCCCTGTCTCTTTTCTATTGGGTTCCTGTCGCCCAGAAACTCTCCCCAGCCCCTCCTCTCTTCTAGATCCTATTCTTGCAGGTGTGAGTCTGAATGCCAAGTCTATCCTATAATTTAGATAAGGTACTGGACCACGTGGAACCTCTTCATCTTCTTCCAAAAAAGGGGGAGGCATTATCCTTACCGTGGAAGGTTGTAGGACTGTTATACAATATAAAAAATGGTTCTAATATAATAGACATCCACCCAGGGAGATGAGTGAAACCATCAGAACCCCCCACAAGGCCACATGGACCCCCTAACCTCTGCCTTGGGGACCCATATCCACTTAAGCAGAGGGCCCACGGCTCCCTTTGTACCACATACTAAGGGTGTCCTCTTGATTGTTTTGTGAATTCTCATGGATCTCTTTGAGGCAGGAGCTATGAACAGACAGGACCCAAGTTCCAAGGTTATACAGGGATACACTGCCGAGCTGCGAGCTGACTTCAAATCCTTCTAATTCAGTCCTTTGTGCTCAAGTTACCCACTACATGCTGCTCCTAAAATAACTCTAGGAGGTAAAATTGTGGGATCAAGTTTCCTGCACTTGGAACTTTGACCCCAGTCGCTAGGTATAGTCCTCCCGGCCACCCCCAGCCTTGCTAGACCCGCCCACAACCTGCGACCACCTGTTTTCCCACATCCATCCTGGTACTGACTGTTATCTGTAACCTCATTGTGTCAGCCTGACAGCTTGGCTAAGTTAAAGGTTTAAACCCCTTCCCGCCTGTGTGGGTGATTTGCAGCCATTTTAGTCAATTGCCCACAGCACCCGGGTCAATCCTCAGGTGCAGCAGACCAGGTCTGACTCTGCAGTTCTACTCTTCAAACCTCCGTCCTGAATCTATAAAACAGAAGCACGCCACCTTGTCCAATGTCACACTTAGGAGGCAGCAGGTCCAGGATGCAGACCCTGTCCCTCTGACCCTGAGGCTGCTTCCACTGGTAAAGAAGAGGCCATCAGGCCTCACAGTAAATAGTAGTAACAGTAGCTACTTAGGACCAACCAAAAAAGTAATAGGGTTTCTGAACCTCAGTTTCTTCCTCCACAAATTGGGCCAATAAGGGTGCCTAGGTCAGAAGCTTGTACAGAGAACCAAACACCATGGTATCTATAAAGCTCACCAGGACACCTGACACCTGGTAGTGACGATTATGATGATTAGGTTGTAAAATCTTAGCCTGAGGCTTAATTGGCTCCCAATACTACAGACCTGATCACCCCTTGTCCCTGGCAAGAGTCCTTGACCCCTTGAACTAAGGACTCACTCCTGAACTCAGGAAATGCCTAGACGCTCCTGCCTGTCAATTTCTTTTAGAAACTAACTAAGGAAAGGCTGAAACAGGAAAAGGAACATTTGAGAACAATATAAGCCCTGCCACAGATGAATCAGAAAATGCCTGACAGTTACTTCATTATAATATTAAAACCACCTTCTGAATATTCATCCTGAGCCCTCATAAAAGAAGCCTGCTTAGCCTGTTGAGAGAGTGGCTTTGGACATGATTCCCCATGACCTCCTTATTCTGATGCTTAAAGTGACCTTGTGAGGCACCTCCACCTGGTGTGGTCTTTGTGTACAGCTCCCGGGTAGAGCAGACCCACTTTGGGCCAGGTAGCAAAGAGCAACACACCCAGAGATCCATAAAAATGTACAGATCAGGACATTCACTGTAGCGTTCTTTGTAAGCCCAAAGAACCTGAAACAACCCAAATCAGGTGGCAAGGGGGCTAAATAAATCATGGTACAACTGCACACTGCAGGTAAAACAAGAGTGCATTAGACCCACGTTTCCTGAAATGGAACAGTCTCCAGCTATACTGTCCAGGGTGGAAAGGCTGGTGCAGATGGCATCCATAATGGTCTACCTGACTCTGTATGTGCATGAGAAATGTCTGGAAAGACACAATGTGAAATGGGGAGTCTAGGGTGGGAGAGGGGTTTCCTTTTCGCCATACCTCTTTTTAAAATAATGTTCCGGGGGTGGGGGGAATGTTTGCAATTCAGAGCACGCATTGCATTAATTTTATGACAAATGAAACGGTTGTGCTCTGTATTTTGGGGTTTGGGTTGCACAGGTGCACATATTTGTTACACTCATCAAATGGTGCACTGGGATATGCGCCTTTCATGTAAATTTCACTTCCGAAGAAAAAAGCCCTGTAAACAAATACTGAATTCCTGGCGGTTGTATCTGCTGCTTACTTTGAGGCTGTCAAAAACCAAGTTGGACAGATGCATGCATGGAGAGAAACAAGACTTACATTGTAACTCCCATAGCAAAGAGCTTCTCATACTCTGTCCGGGAGGAGTAGTTGGGAATGACCTAGAAAAGAGGAATGGGAGCCAAAGGCTGGGGATGGGGGGGACAGAGCCCTCTGAAACAATGGGGAGGCAGGTGTTGGGGGCACCTGGCTCTCCTGCTGCCCCCAGGCAGGCACTGTGCCCAGCTGCCCCAGGACCCACCATCCCGTTGGTGATGACCAGCCTGGGGGCCCCGGGGCTGCTTGGGAAGAGGCCCAGAGGGTGTCCGCTATACATGACCAGGGTCTGCTCCTCTGTCATCTGTGACAGGTAGGACATCGTCAGCCAGAACTGCAGGGGAGAGCAAAGCATGGAAGGCTCTGTAAGTGGGGGGCCAACACTGAGCCCCAAGTCACCACCCAGGCCCAGAGAGCTCCCACAGCCCCAGCAGTCCTGTCAGTGCCCTGTCCCTTCAGGCCCTCATTAGTCTCCAGCGGCTCCTGGTGCCTCGAATAATGCCACACATGTCCTGAGGGCCTTTAGTACCCCCAGAATGCCCAGTGTCAGCATCTCAGGCATCAGGGAGGCAGAGACCTGAGTCCCGAGCCTTAGATTGTTAGATCCTACCAGGCCAGAAGATGTGGGGAGGGGAAAGGCCATACAGTCCAGCGTACCTGAGCCCAGTTGCTGAACACCTGCCCATTTCCTCCATAGGTCACGAGCTCCTGGGGAAACTGGAGAAGACATGGTGTCATCTGAGATGGGGGTCTGGGAAGGGAGGGCCCCCACCTCTGTGCTGTGCCCAATGGCTGATGGCCCTTGAAGAAGGAGTGTTAAGGGCAGGGGGAGAAGGCAGAAAGGGCGAGGCCCAGACACAGTGACCTCTGCAGGAACACTGGCCCCCACCATGACCTTGTAAGAGCTCAGCGTGAGGTGAGAGTCAGAGCTGGATCTGGGATTGCTTTGGGAAGTTAGCCCAGGGTCAGTGTCAGGGGTCTGTCTTGACCAGGTTCTGGGGTCAAGGCCAGGGCTGAGGAAGCTCTCACCTCTGGGTAGAATATTCAAATTCTAGGATCATATTGCCCTCAAGTATAATACTTAGAGACTCACCCCTGAAAAGGTTATCCTTTATCAGATATGAGTATCTGATGTACAGACTGGCTCTCAAGGACCCCCATGACAGATGCATGTGGCCAGACTTGCATCATCCACACAATAGTGTGGCTATTGAGCACTGGAACCATGGCTTATTTGACATGCCCTACGTGTAAGATTCACCCCCAATTTCAAAGACTTAGTAGGGAAAAAGGTTGTAAAATGTCTCAGTGATTTTTATGTTCCATGTTAAAATGATAACATTTCTGATACATTGGCATGGACAAAATACAGGAGTAAATCTGTTCATTATTATTTGTTTGCTTTTTCATGTGACTTTTAGAAGTTTTGTGTTTTTTTTGTTTTTTTTTAAGAAAGTTTAAAATGCCATGTGTGTCCATCATACCAACGTTGATATCTGGAGGTTCATGCTGTACTCTAGTTACAGACGATATAGCCACCGGGGGGAGCCGGGAGAAGGGTCTATGGTCCCCTCTGTACTATCTTTACAACTTCCTACAAATCGATCGTTATTTCTAAATAAAAAGCTTAAAAGCATTACATGTATGTCTTGAGTTACATTTCTATTGGGCGGTGCTGGCCCCTGCCTCAGTTTCCCCCGGCTGTTACCTGGGCTACGGCAGGGTCCAGGTTGTTCATGATCATGTGCATGATGGCTGCAGCGGCCCTCGTCCGGCAGGGGTACTGCTCGATTGGGTAGGCCCTGCAAGGGGAGTCCAGCCACCAGGTGTGACGAGGGGAGGGCACGAGGCTTCCGGCCTGCTGAAGCCTAGGCCCTCCCTGGCCATGGCACAGCATCCGGCCACAGAGGTGTGCACAGCAAGACCTGGTATCCTGCAGAAGCCGCCTGGGAGCTGCCGGCAGAAGGCGGTTCCAGACCACCTAGGCCGGCCCACTCTGGTGCTCACGTTGTGTTTTACACCCCTGCCCTTCCAAGGATGGCAAGTTAGGCCCCTACCGCACCCGGGCCACCCCTCCCTCCCCCTTGGCGGGCTCCATCTGGGAGAAGATGGACTTCAAAATAAAGCTGAAGTCTGCTTTCCAGAAGCATCTCCTCTGGGTGGAGTTTATTATCCATCCCTTCTTTCCTTCATGTCACCAGTGCTCCTGGCATCAATTCTAGAGCAGATGCCAGGCCAACAGGCCCCAACAGGAATGAGGGGACATGGTGCCTACTTGATGGGGAGAATGACATCCCCTGGGGGTGGTTCCAGACAGGTCTGGACCTCTGGCACATTCAGGAATAAAGGTGCTTGGAGCGTGAGCCCTGGGCGGGGGCAGCAGCATCTGGGAACTGTGAGAAGGGCAGATCCTTCTGGCCCCCTGCTCCCAAACTGCTGAATCCACAGTGTGGGGTGAGGCCCAGCCATCTACATTTTCACAAGGCCTCCAGTGCCATGCACAGCTCAGCCTGAACCGAAGCTATCTCCTTACTTCCTGGCAGGACAAGACATGAGGTTTAGAAAGGGATTTTGTACACAATTTGGCTCCAGAATTGCACAGGATTGACTACCCAGGATGGTAGGCCAAAGCGACCTCTCTGGAAAGGATTCCCTTATCGTCTGGCCAGGCTGGGGGGCCTGCAGCCAGTGCCAGGCTACAGACCCCCACAGGTGACAACACAGCCATCATGCCCTCTCCGTGTGAGGGGCATTGACTCAGCACGCCACAACTCAGCACGCCTCCTGGTGTGGACAGCCTGCACTTCCCCCTGCTGACCCCTGAATCGGCCCCTCCCTGGGAGCTTCTGGGCCCCCTTTGGAGCTGCACCTACCAGTGCTCACCTCATTTTAATGTCGGGGCAGAACCGGTACATGTAGATATGCCCGTACAGTCGCAGCTCCTGGGCAAACTCAGGGGCCAGCAGCTCCTGGGCGTCCGGGGGGAAGTAGCGCAGGGCATTCTTCAGTGCGAGCTGGGGAGTGGGGGGAAGAGGGGTGAGGGGCAGCAGGGGGGCAGAGGATCTCCAGGCCAAGGATCACGAGGCTTCCATGATGGGACATCCTCCTTCCCTACTCAGAAATCCACGGCCCCATCCAGAGACCACCTAGTTCTCACTCCAGGCCCATCTACAAGGTCGCCTCTTGCAAGAAGCCTTCCCAGATTGCTCTCCCCCTTCACATAGGCAAACGTCTAGGCCCTTCCTCGTCTTGCTCATGGGAAACCAGACTGCTTGATCCCAGTCAAGGACCAGAGGGTGGCCTTCCCTGAGGCTTGCAGCTACACTGGGAGATGCAGACTCAAGGGCAGGAAAGAGATGTCCCAGGAGCTCACAGGCACCTTGTGCAAATGCAGAGAAGCAACCCTGCACCAGCGCCCACCTTGGCAAGCCGCGTCAGACAGCGCACACTGCACATTTTCCTCCAAATTCAGGCAGGCCTGGGGCAGGCCAGGAGAAAGAAGAAACCTTCATAGGGCTTCTCAGGCAGCCCACCTCCCAAGCCCCCAACACTCCTCCACACATCCCTGATGTTCCTGGTCCTGCCGCAGGGCCTCGGCACTTACCTCTCTGCCACCCTGCCTTCTCTTGGAGGGTCTCTCTCTTTACTCAGGCCTCAATCCAAATGCCCCCCTCCACAGAGGCCTGCCTTGACCCCCCCCCCTTGACTCCTAGCCTCTCTCCCCACCTCCGTTTCCTTCCCAAGCTTTTCACTGCTGGGTATTCTACTGGTTGGTTGTTTCACTGCTTACAATCTGTCTTACTAAGCCCAAGGAGGGCCAGAGTTCTAGCAGACCCCTTCATAGCTCCCTTCCTTCCAACACCCGGACTGGAGCCTGGAGGCAGGCAAAGCTGGGGAGGCGACCAAGGGTATCTGGGTGGAGGTTGAGGCCATTTATGCAACCAGCTGACCCTGGGGAGCAAACTGTTTTGGGGGTGGGGAGCTGAGGAGCTGAGAATGGTGGATTTATTGCCTACTGAGGGGGAGAGGTGGTCTGATAACCTGAAGACAGGTAGGCTTTGGACACAGGGAGGCAGGAGGTGACGGGAGAAGGCCAAGGCCCAGGACTGGGGACACCAGCTTTGGGCAGGGGTAGAAGTTCCCCCAGGGAGATGGTGCTGGAAGTCCAGCCAGGAGCACGGGTTCCTGCCGGCCAAGGGCAGAGGGCTAGGAGGAGGGCGGCCTGTCCGAGGCACCGAGTGGTCCGACACTGTGTGGGCTAAGACACACCCCAGGACTGAGTGACAAGGATGTCACTGGGGCCTTAGCAGCGGGGCAGGGTGGGAGGAGAGAAAGGAGAGGGGTAATCCGGGAAGGAGCAGATGGCAAGAGAGGCAATGAAGAAAACCCCAGCTCAGGGTGTTACAGAAACTTGGGAAGGTCTGCAGACCCACTCCCTCATTTAATTTTCATGTGGAACAAAAGCCCGTCATCCCTTCTCCCTTAGAAAAAAGCTGATGAGAAATGTGAGTTTCTCCCTCAAGAACAGTGGCCAGGAATACCCTGCAGCAGGAGGGTGTCGAAGACCAGCTGACGTGGGGGTCACCCACAGGATCTGGTGTGGCCTCTGCTCTGCGTTCCTCACCAGTTCCCAGGTGCCACGCTGCTGGCCTGGGGACCCCACTTTGGGAGCCGCTACAGGACAGCCAGGAGGATAAATGATCCCAGCAACATGCAGCAGCCGGGTTGGCTCTCCCGACCCGCTGTTGAGTGAAAGAAGCCCACACCTAAGGGACATACTGCCAGCTCTGTTGAGAGGCTGTTCAGGGGCAGGTGTGGCTGAGCCACGTGTTAGAGGTCAGGCCAGCAGTTCTCCTTCAAGGCTGGGGTCTGTTCCCCGCTCCCCGCACCTGTGACAGACACATCTGTGCACACGTGGTTTCCGTGGCTTTCTGTGCATGTTGTACCTCAACACAAAGACCGTTGTTGTTTTCTAGCTGGTGTATAGCTTCTAACAAGAGCTTGCAAGTGAAACTGAACATTTAAAGAGAAGTTTTGAAAGCAATATATCACACACACACAATCCACACAATATATATTACACGCACACACACACAATCTACACAAGACTTGACCTTACTACCCAACTCCTAATATATTCTATCCTGTTCTAGCTTGTTTTATTTTGCTTTCTGATGAATGCTACTTGCAACCCCCTAACCAGATTTCACAACCTGCTAAGAGGTGGCAAGCAGTGGTCGGAAAAAAAACTGTCTTCACTGTTTCCCCAGCAGGGCTGGCTTCACTACTGGGCCTAAACCTGGTGTTCTTACTAAGGACCTGGATTCGACCTTGTCGAATGCTTTTGCAACCTTGTTCAGCTAATCACATAACTCAAAACATACAACAGAGGTTCCTGTCAAAATCAATGGTTCTTAAATTGTGTCAGTTGATAGAAATGACTAGGCCATTTTGCTTGCTTTTCTTGCTTGCTTTTCTCTTTCTTTCTTCCTTCCTTCCTTCCTTCCTTCCTTCCTTCCTTCCTTCCTTCCTT